GGCTGCGGTGGCCGGGAGCGGCCACTGCCCTCCAGTCTGGGTGACCGAGTGAGACTCCGACTCAAAAAAAAAAGAGTCCATAAGTAAGTCCTTTGGATGAACAGGACCCACTGTTGCCACTCTTTGAAGCAGCAGCAGGAGACTTCTTTGCCCACGGGTCCACACCAGAACAGGGGGTGCGGGTTTGGACCTGCCTGGGTTCTGAGCTGCTCTGGGGAAGCCTGGTCTCTGACAGACCTGTGCTGGGAAGCAGGTGCATGCAGTGAGTGGGCGAGGCACCCCACAGACACCCCAGAGCTCCAGAGGGTTTATTTCTGGCCATAGCTACTTGACAGTAGAAGGCGATTCGGACTGATGTCTGGGTCTCAGCCCGGTGATGCGCACTGAGTGAGGTTAGGACCACGTGCCCGCCTTTCTCCAGCTGGATCGAGGCGGCCTGTCTGCTGCCAGCAGAGCTGGGTCCAGCCCCGTTCTCCCACTGACAGCTGCTGGAATCATGGCATCACTTCCCCCTGCTGAAGAACGTGGGGAAGATGAGGGATTTCCTCTGTGCTGCTTGGAACTGTTGTGAGTGTACAGAGAATACAAGTACTCTTCCGAAGCTTTTAGCGTGATCTTCAAATGCAAAGTGACATTATTAAACTTCAGTCTGCACAGGTCTAGGAACACGACACTGGCTAATTTGAGTTAATAACCTCTGTTTGATATCACAGCAAGTTGAAAATGGAGCAGAAGTGTGTAACCACTGCATGTTTTTAGATGATAACACTGTTCTTGTGTGTGCTGGAACCCGGGGTGGTGGCCGGGCCCGGCCAGCTTCATCTGGTACCTACACGGAGAGGTCAGACACCACGTCTGGCACTCTGAGGTATTTGCATTCTCTGATGTTACACATTTTTAAGGAAATGGCCAGAATCCTTACAGGAGAAACACATACTTTGAACAAATAAGTCACTGCATTCAGTTCACCCTTTGTGAGTGCACACTTGGAATACTGGAGGAAATTACAGCCTGGGGAATTAAATTTATCCAAATTCTAAGAGGTTTCATTTGTCGTGTGTTTCAAGGCTCAATGGAACCTAAATATAATCCTCGGGTGTGTAACATTTTAGTAATTTATAATTTGGTACAAAGATTATTTTCCTAGAGCATCTGGGAATTTTCTATAAGTATGAAATTCTTTTTGAAAGAAAGCGGTGGCAAAGAAATAAAACTTAATGGAGCAAAGAACTAAAATACTTTAAAACTAAAGAAGTAAAAAGTCAATTGCAGCATCTGACCTTTTGTTGAAATCATCAAAACCATACCGATAAAAAAAAACTGTGTGTGTGTGTTGTAGATTCCAGGCCACAAGCAGCCTCACAAGGTGAACAGCTCTTCTACTTGTTGAAGCAAAATCTCGAGTCCATTGTGGATTTTGCCACACAGTTAACTATACCAACAATCAAGTTGGGACATCTCACATGTTTCAACAGTCAAGTTGGCTTAATGTGTGATGTGAGCTGCTCTGGCTTGTTTTTCTGCGGCTCTGCTTGCTGTCCATCTGGAAGACGTGTGCGGCACTCTCATACTCCAGGGCACAGACAAGGAGGCCTCCGAGATGTCACCTGCCCGAGGACTAAGGACCTGTAAGCTGGTGATGCGAGGAAGTCAGACCTGCCACCCTGCCCCTCCCTGCGTCCCAGGTGGAACGTCATGCTGATGGTGTTGCAGGGCTTCTCCGTGGTGAGAGCCAGAATTCTTGATTCTTGATTGTTACCAGAAAGTGTCTGTTGAGAACTGTTGTGCAGATCTATGGCAAGACCCCAGCTCACACCAGTCAGGATGGCTGTTACTAAAACGTCAAAAAACAGCAGATGCTGGGGAGGCTACAGAGAAAGGGAACGCTTGCACACTGTGGCGGGAGCATAAGCTCGTTCAGCCTCTGTGGAGACCAGCCTGGAGAGTTCTCAGAGAACTACAGAGCTACCGCTCGACCCAGCCATCCCACTTCTGGGAATATCCTGAAAGGAGCATACATCGCTCTGCCAGAAAGACACTTTATGGCAGCACTGTGCATAACAGCAGAAGCATGAAGCTCACCCTGATGCCCACTGGCGGTGGACTTGATAAAGACAGCAGGACGCATCTACATGGTGGGCTGTTACACAAAAAAGCATGAACTCGTGTCATTTGCAGCCACGTGGATGACGCTGAAGACAAGACCATCATTCTGAGCGAATAATCACAGAAACAAAAAGTCAGCTGCCACAGGTCCTCCTCAGGGGCGCTAAACCCTTGGCACATGTGGGCAAAGGGTGGCAACCGCAGCGACTAGGCACTGCTGAGGGAGTGAGAGAGGGAGGGAGTAAGAGATCCAACCTCCCCCCCGGTACCAGGCTCGCCACTGGGGGGGGTCTCATCACTTAGTGCCATTCTCACTGCTGGGGGCTCATCATCACAGTACCGTGCTCACCACTGGGGGACTCACCACTGGGCACCCTGCTGATCGTTGGTGGGCTCATCACTTAGTGTCACACTCATCACTGGCGGGGTCATCACAGTACCACGCGCACCACTGGTCGGGGGGCCCATGGGAAGCTCAAACCTCATCTTCACACGATATACCCATGTATCAAGTCCTCATGTGTGCCCCGTGATTCTTAAGTAAAGAAGAACTTTTGTGTATAAGACATTCTTAAAGCAATTAGAATAAAAGGGGTTAATACCTTTAAAATCTGTTCTCCAGCCGGGCTCGGTGGCTCAGCCTGTAATCCCGCGCCTTTGGGAGGCTGAGGTGAGTGAATTGCCTG